GCCAGTGTGGCTCAGCTAGTCGGAGCATGTTCGGCAACAGAAAGGTCTTTGGTTCTGGTTGAATCCCCAGCCCCAGCCCCAGCCGGGGTGGATGCAGGAGGCAACCAATCCATGTCTCTCCCTCCCCCTCATCCCGTTCCCCTCTCTCTAAAAATCAATGGGTTAGGGTGAAGATAAAACTTTTTAAAACCCTTATATGTGAAAGCTAACGAACATACTCCTAAATAGCCCATATGTTTACAAGGAATACCAACAAAGGAGTTCATATTAAAATTCAAGAAATTTCAATGTTTGATATTAACTTATTATTCAAGAAATTTAAAATTCAAGGATGAAGCATGCTCAAAGAGAAATGTATAGTCCTAAATATATTAATTTTTAAAATGACTAAAACTAGCCCTGGCCAGTTTGGCTCAGCGGTTAGAGCGTCGGCCTGCGGTCCGGAGAGACCCGGGTTCGGTTCCCGCTAAGGGCACGTACTTCGGTTGCAGTTTGACCCCGGCCCTGGTTGGGTTGTGTGGGTGGCGGCCACTCGATGTGTCCCTTCACGTCGATGTTTCTCTCTCTCTCTCTCCCCCTCCTGCTCTATCTGAACAAAAAATGGAAGAATGTCCTCGGGTGAGGATTAATTAAATAAATAAATAAATAAAATGACTAAAACTAAAAATAAACGAGCTAAGTTTTATACAAGAGGCAAGGAAAATACTGCCTAAAGAAATCAGAAGGAAAAATAAAGAGTAGAAATCATGGAAAAAGAAAGCACAAAGGGGAATATCTACAAAACCGAAAGCTGATGCTTTGCTAGAGTGTCTGTTTCAATAGCTTGTTCAAGTCTCACCAAGGTGGGGACAGATGACATTTCTAGAGGGAAAGGAAAACTCTAAGTATAGATATATTCCTAAAACCATAAAGTATACTTCAAACATCTTCACGCCAGCACTTTGTGACGGGAAGAAACGGACGGGCCCTCAGAGCACGCGTGGAGACGGCCGGCCCGCCTCTGACTCCGAAGCCTCCAGCACGGAGCCAGCCCACACACGCTGCACGTAGGCTCCAGGACCCTCGGCCCAGCCCGCCGGGCAGCCCCGCCGCTTGCCCGCGTCTCACGAGTACGATCATTTCTGAGTGTGCCAGGCAGCGAGGAAACCTGGCAAGCTTTAGTTTGTGTTAATGGAACCCTGACCGTTAGCCAAGCCAACTGACGCCTGGAATAAAACTTCACTTCATGGCTCCTTTGGTGGCAGATGTGGCCAACGTAATGTGAGGAAGTGGTGCGCACAACTCCCGATAAACAGCCTAAAAGAGACCTCCCTTTTCCTCCTTCCTCTGGCTGGAACGCAGTCCTGAAGGCTGGAGCTGGGGCGGCCCTCTGGGTCCAGGAGGTGCCCTGGGGCGTGAGGCCAGGAGGAAAGAGGGGGAAGGTGCCTGGGTCACTGCCACTCCAGACTCTCTACCTCCGTAAGACACTACTGTTCTAGATCTTTCCTTCACTCACAGATACACTTGGTTCTGATTCAAATATTAATTACCAAAGAAAAGGAAAACAGAATATACACGCACTGAAAACGCTGACTTGGCAACACAAACAGGAAGGGTCCGTGTGAGAGAAGAGGGCAGCCAGCAACACGAGGGCTCGACAGCACTGGGTGACGGCAGCCAGCAGTGAGACGGAATGACCCTCAGCCATTCAGGAAAGGCAAAGTAAAACCACAGCGAATCAAAAAGGCCGACCACACCAAGAGCCACGGTGGGTGTGGGGCCAGAGCCCCTGCACACTGCCAGTAGGAGTGTGAAACGGTGCCACCACGTAGGAAACCCACTTGGCATTTCTTAAAATGGTAAACACGCGTTTGCCACATGACCCAGCAGTCCCACTGGCAGGTGCTTGTCCGAAGGAAGCGTGCGGCCACCCTCGGGCTGGTCGGCGAGTACTCACAGCAGCTTCACTCGCAGTCCCAGACTGCAGCCCAAGTGCTCACTTCCTGGTAAGTGGGTAAACACACCCTGGTATATCCACACAACGAACTACTATACAGCAACGAAAAGGGATGAACTACAAAACGTACGACATGGATACCTCTTGCAATAATCTGGATGACTAACAGCAGCCGGACCGAAAAGGAGTGTGTCCACGCTCCATTCATACACAATTCCAGGAAGGGCAAATATCAGTAGCTGTCAGGGAAAGCGGAGGGGGGCGGGCATGGACAGAGATGGTCGGAAGGGGTCCTGGAGGGTGCGGGCCACTTTCGAGGGTGATGGCATGACCTTGCCCTGACGGTGGCTGGCACAAATGTGGGCTCAGACTTTAGCCACCAGGAGAGGAAGGGGCCGCAGCACTTCGCGGAGCACGAGCCGTTGCTGGCGCGAAGCTGTGCGTCCAACAGACTCTAAGACAGGGTCACAGGGGCAGCCCCGGGCCCGTCCTGTCTGCACACACCACACACTGTGGCTGTGGTCTGCTGGCTGTCCTCGGGCTACTGCGGCAGAGCTGGGGAGCCGCACCAGAGCCTGTGACACCTACTGCGTGGCCTCCGCAGAAGACATTGGCTGACTGCCGCTGGCAGGCACTGGCTCTCGTGTTCCAGGGGACACGCCAGGTGCCCCAGAAGCACCGTCTGTACAGCAAAAGGCTGGAGAAACCTCAATGTCCGTCAGTGAAGGAGCTAATGAGCAGATGATGACACCTGCCATCGACTGAAATGCGTCAGCTAGATCTGCCCATGTCAAAATCAGAGGGTCTCAGACACAGATGCTGCCCCAAGAGCAACCTGCACAGCAGCGGGTAGCGCAGCTCTCACGGGGCAATGCAGACGCAGGGCCAGGCCGCAGGCATGAGCAGCTGCCCAGGGAGACAGGGCCTGGGACACGGGCACAAAGGCACAAAGGCCTGCAACTTCTCTCGCACATTTTACTTCCCTTTATTTTTTAAAAATCTGGAACTGCCCTGTAACCCAGACTTGTGCCCTGACCAGGAATCAAACCGGGACCTCTCAGTCCATGGGATGACGCTCAGTCCGCTGAGCCGCACTGGCGGGGCTGGGATATTTTTAGAAGACCAGCGAGTTCAATGCAAATCCGATGTTTACCCACTGAAGAAAGCAGCACAGAGACGCCTGGCTCGTCTCCTCCGGCTGCAGAGCGTGGCGCCCTGGCCTGTAACCTCACCGGCTGCACTTCCGTCCAGCAGCCTGTTCCCCAGCACCTTCTGAAGTCCACTGACCTACTTCTCTGACATTTATCCTTCGGAGGAAACTGAAACACAGGCCCGTGTTCTGCATAAAAATCACAGCCTTGCTGGCCAGTGGGGCTCAGTGGCTGAGTGTCATCCCTGCACCAGGAGGTCAGTGGTTCGATTCCCTGTTAGGGCACATGCCCAGGTTGCAGTCTCAACCTCCAGTAGGGGGCAGCCAATCAATGTTTCTCTCTATCTCTCCCTCCCTTTCTCTCACTAAAATCAATTTTTAAAAAAAACTCACAGCTAGCCCTGGCCAGTTTGGCTCAATGGTTAGAGCGTTGGCCCATAGACAAATTAGTCTCAGGTTTGATTCTGGTCAAGGGCACACACCTCAGTTGCGGTTCGTCCCCAGCCCTGGTCGTACGGGAGGCAACCAGTAGATATGTCTCTCTCACATCGATGTTTCTCTCTCTCTCTCTTTCCTGTCTCTCTCCTTCCCACTCTATCTAAAGATAAATGGAAAAATATGTTCAGGTGAGAATTAAAATAAATTAAATTAAATTAAAAATCACAGCTATAGCCCTGGCCAGTTTGGCTCAGTGGTTAGAGCGTCGGCCTGTGGTCCAGAGAGACCCCAGTTTGGTTCCCGCTAAGGGCACGTACCTCGGTTGCAGTTTGTCCCCGGCCCTGGTTGGGTCGCGTGGGAGGCAACCACTCGATGTGTCCCTTTCATGTCGATGTTTCTCTCTCTCTCTCTTCCTCTCTCTCCCTCCCACTCTATCTGAACAAAAAATAGAAAAATGTCCTCGAATGAGGATAAAAAAATCACAGCTATAAAACGTAAAGCCACGGAAGCTTCAGAGGTCACTTCAGTCCCAGCCTGGAGGCTCAGACCCCACCACTGGGCTGCGGACATACCACCAGGGACGGCAGGACCACGCCGGCCTGGGGAAAGGACTGTGGCAGGTTAAATTCCTCCAGAGCACACGGCAGGCCGGGAAGAGGCGCCTCCCTCAGAGGGTCAGGCAGCAGCCTCGGGCAACAGGCTTCCGCACTAGTGCGGGAAGGGCGCCCCCTGGTGCTGCTCTCGCCACACAGCTCCCCTGGCTAGCTCAGCCATGCCTTCCTTCCTGACCAGCAGTCATTTTAACCAGAATTCCACCTCAAACTATAACCGTTAAATCAACGTGTGTGTGTGTGTGTGTGTGTGTGTGTGTGTGTAAAACATGGCGATTACTGGCTACTGATAAACTATCCAAGAAATTACTTCCTGTTTAAAAACACACACACACAATAAATACTGACTGCTACGGTGTAAAAGGACGCTGACAGACCTGCCGTGACGTGTGCGGCGCACTGCCCGGCCTGCGGGTATTCTCGCCAGGGCCACGAGCTGAAGCGGTGGCGGCGGGCAGGAGGCCACGGGTCCCCCAAAATCGCACACTCGTAAGGAAGACGGCCGGGAGGCCAGACTCGAAAACGCTCCGCCTTTCCCGCACTCAGGGGGCCCGGGGCCCGCGCCCCACTCCCGGGAAGGGCGCGTGGGCAGGAAGGCGACGGCCGCGGGGCAGCGCAGAGCAGGCCTTCGGCCGGACTCCCGAGCCGGGAAGGAGGCTGCTGCCCACCGGGCAGGACTCCGGGCGTCCAGGAGCTAACAGCCCCCGCAGAGCCCGAAGCGCCCCTCCTCCCGGCTGAGGGCGGCCCGTGGACACACAGACACAGACGGTGTTGTGAGCACGACATCTGAACGTGTTTCCAGTGTTTTAAGTGAAAGTGGAAACCGATGCTAAAATGCTGATATTTACAGAAGACAGTCCATTACCTTCTCCCCAGGCTTGGGCGACAGCCGCAATCTCTCATAGTCTTTCTTGGTCTCCAAGATCTTCTTGACGAGCCCTCCTGTGGAAAGCAGTGGTCTGTGCTCCAGCTGCTGGCCTGAAGGGGCGGGCGCAGCAGTGCAAGGCCTCACCCCTGCCCTGAACCAGCCTGGGGACCCTCCCGGCACCCAGCCCGCAGCCGACACGCGGCAGCTGCTGGCGGGAACCAGCTGCAACTTCTAAGTGTTACAAAGAAACCAGCTCCTTCAAGGGGAAGAAAATCTAGAAATAAAATAGATTTTCTCTTCTATTTCCTAAGAATAAGAAGAAATGTAGATCAACACTTGAAACTATTATAAACATATAGTTTTAAATTGCTCCTAAGTATGTACTAATACTTCGTTATATTGGGACAAGAATCTTAAACTTCTTTAAAATAAAGAATTACCCAGGGGATAAATATCCTATGAAAACCCATTTTCTTTAAAAATCGTTTGCCCAGATGTGTGTCATGTGCCCAGATCTGCGTCATGAAGAATCGGGCCGCGTGTGCACACAGTGCAGGACGCAGCCTCGGCCCTGCCGTGGACAGACCCAGCGCGTGGGCAGTGAGGCGGCAGAACCCCCGACTTGCACCACATCCGGGGGTGAGCCCCAGCTCTCACTGTGGCCAGGAAGGGAGGCACAGGTGGGGCGGGGCAGGGCCGAAGCCACACCTCTGTGAGCATACCCTGTTCGGTACATTTGGCCATGAAAATGTGAATATTTTACATAAAATAAAAAAAATTAAACCCAATGTTAACACCTAAAAACAGAAACAAAGGGAATAAATAACCTTAAAAGGAATGATGTTCTCTAGGGCTTGTGAAGGGCCTGAGGGTGGGGGAGCTGAGATAAAATGAACTGTGGGAGCTATGTGGGGGAGGCCGGGGTCGTTAGACTACTCTCTGCTTTCCTGACATATGAAATAAAAGAAAACACTGTTTGGGAAGAAAACAGATGACATTACAGAACTGTCGATCTGGGACTGACCTCGGAGGTCCTGCAATTCCAAATGTCACCATATGGATAAGAAAAGGTGTCACCTATGCACTGGCTCACAGCTGACCTCCAGCGTCCGGGGTGCCCCCTGCCCCGGTCTCCTAAGGATGGGAGCAGCAGCCAATGTCTCCCAGAACAGAAAGCAGCGACCTCGGAGGGGCCCGGGCCCATGGAGCTCTATTACTGCGGCTCGGACTCCCAACCCCAACAGGCCCAGGCAGAGCAGGTGCACTTGACCTTCTAACAAACACACACGCACACGCACGCACGCACGCACGCACACGCATGCACGCCAGCACTCACCGTGCTTCTCGTCTTCTTCCAATCCGACTGCCTGCACCTGAGCAGGAGAGGAAGGGGAAAAGAGGAGATTCAGGTTGTTTGGTCCTCAAAACCCTGCCTTTGAGATCTCATCAGAGGAATGACAATGAGCGAGGGCAGACAACTGACGGAGAGATGGGAGGGAGGTTCTGTCTCCACAGATCTAGACGCTGGCATGTAAGCGTAGCGACAAACGCCGGTGAGGCTAACTAACCACGTCGCGCTCTGACAGCTCAGGCTGCTGGGGGGCGGCCTCCACCACGAACTGGTCGTCCTCTTCGTTGTCAGAGTTCTGCACGTCGACAATCACATTGGAGACGGCTTGGCCGCTCCCTGTCCTGGTGCAGAGAGATCAGATTGGATTAGAAATCTCATGTCGTGAGCCTTCGTCCATCCCGTGCATCTGGACCAGTGTCCGAAGGTAGTGAGTAGGTCACCACCCCCCGTCCCTGGAGCATCACAGGACACGAGGGAAGTTGTGTGAAGCCCCAGGCCTGGGTCCCTATGAGCCCTGCGCTCTGCCAGCACCCCAGCCACACCCCCCAGTGCACCCCCTGCACCCCTCCCTCCTCGGCCAGGCTCTCAGGGAGACCAGGCCTTCACCTGCAGCCCCTCACCTGAAGGGCCCGTCCTCCAAGTCGCAAGAAGCTTCAGGGAAAGGTGACCGCGGTGGCCCTGCTAGCCAGGGCGGCCCCCAGACCTGTCCCTCAGTGTCCCTTGGGAACAGCAGCTTCCTCGAGGCCCCTCGTTTGACTCCCAGGCACTGCCCCAACCTACGTCCCTGCCCGACACTCCCGCTCACACACCTGCCGTCCACCAGGCCCTGCCTCTGTTCTGGGCCACCAGCCCGTGACCTGCTCCTCCACCCAAGAGCTCTCGTGCCCCCAGTGGCCCCCCAGAGCTGCCCCACTGACTGCGGCCACCACTGCCAGCCCCTCTGCTCGGGCACTTCCTCCCCCGCACCTGCGCAGCCCCACCCAGTGCTACGGGCCCCTCTGCCCCCGGCCTTCACACCCTCCCACACACTCAACACAATCTGCCTGACGAACACCCTGCACTTCCCTGCCCGTCACCCTGGCAACACACGCATGCACACGCACACACACGTACACGCACATGTACACATGCACATGCGCACACACATACACACGCACACCCCAAACCTCTCCCTCGTTTCAGTGCAATGCACAAGGTCACGAGGAATCCCGGACCAACACCTGCTTCCCCAAGCACCCTCGGCTCCATCACCCGGCCCCCAGACCCAACTCCACCAGGACCAACCTCGTCTGCTCCCTTGCGTCTCACACACTGCACGACCCACATGGTGCACAACCCACCCTCCCACCCCTGCTGGACCCCCACGGGTCCTCCTCGCCAGCAGTCCCTCTGCAGCCTCACCCCTCACCTGCCGGCTATCCGGGGGGAGGTGCTTCCCTGCAGCCCACTGGCCTGCTGAGGCCAGCCCAGCGGGAGACCTCTGGGCCACCGCTGTCCCTCTCCGTGTCGGTCTGTCCACTGTAGGAAGTTTAGCAGCATCCCTGGCTCCAAGCCTCCCAACCACATGCCAAGAACTCTCCCTCTGCCTCCTCCCAGTCACGATGCTGCTACCAAACATCTCCAGACACAGTCCAGTGTCCCCAACACCCCCAGGGGTGCGGTGGCCCTAGATGAGAAACTCTGCACCAGCCCCTCCTGGAGACCGCTTCACGCTGCCTCCTCCCTCCCCTGACCTCTTGTTCCTCCTCCGCAGACTCCTCCGGGTGAACAAGGAAAGCAGGCGAGAAAACTGACCTTCCCTCCCAGAGCCTACCCCGTGTTCTCCCCTCAATGCCCCCTCGCCCAATCAGGGACTGCGTCCCGACACTCCCCGGGCCTTCTCCCACATCTCCAGCCGACTCGGGGACTGCGTCCCGACACTCCCCGGCCCTTCTCCCACATCTCCAGCCCACTCGGGGACTATGTCCCGACACTCCCCGGCCCTTCTCCCACATCTCCAGCCCCCTCGGGGACTGTGTCCCGACACTCCCCGGCCCTTCTCCCACATCTCCAGCCCCCTCGGGGACTGCGTCCCCACACTCCCCGGCCCTTCTCCCACATCTCCAGCCCACTCGGGGACTATGTCCCCACACTCCCCGGCCCTTCTCCCACAGCTCCAGCCCACTCGGGGACTGTGTCCCGACACTCCCCGGCCCTTCTCCCACATCTCCAGCCCCCTCGGGGACTGCGTCCCCACACTCCCCGGCCCTTCTCCCACATCTCCAGCCCCCTCGGGGACTGTGTCCCGACACTCCCCGGCCCTTCTCCCACATCTCCAGCCCACTCGGGGACTGTGTCCCGACACTCCCCGGCCCTTCTCCCACAGCTCCAGCCCACTCGGGGACTATGTCCCGACACTCCCCGGCCCTTCTCCCACATCTCCAGCCCACTCGGGGACTGTGTCCCGACACTCCCCGGCCCTTCTCCCACATCTCCAGCCCACTCGGGGACTGTGTCCCGACACTCCCCGGCCCTTCTCCCACAGCTCCAGCCCACTCGGGGACTGTGTCCCGACACTCCCCGGCCCTTCTCCCACAGCTCCAGCCCACTCGGGGACTATGTCCCGACACTCCCCGGCCCTTCTCCCACATCTCCAGCCCACTCGGGGACTATGTCCCGACACTCCCCGGCCCTTCTCCCACAGCTCCAGCCCACTCGGGGACTATGTCCCGACACTCCCCGGCCCTTCTCCCACAGCTCCAGCCCACTCGGGGACTGCGTCCCGACACTCCCCGGCCCTTCTCCCACATCTCCAGCCCACTCGGGGACTATGTCCCGACACTCCCCGGCCCTTCTCCCACATCTCCAGCCCACTCGGGGACTATGTCCCAACACTCCCCGGCCCTTCTCCCACATCTCCAGCCCCCTCGGGGACTGCGTCCCCACACTCCCCGGCCCTTCTCCCACAGCTCCAGCCCACTCGGGGACTATGTCCCCACACTCCCCGGCCCTTCTCCCACATCTCCAGCCCCCTCGGGGACTATGTCCCGACACTCCCCGGCCCTTCTCCCACATCTCCAGCCCCCTCGGGGACTGCGTCCCCACACTCCCCGGCCCTTCTCCCACAGCTCCAGCCCACTCGGGGACTATGTCCCGACACTCCCCGGCCCTTCTCCCACATCTCCAGCCCCCTCGGGGACTGCGTCCCCACACTCCCCGGCCCTTCTCCCACAGCTCCAGCCCACTCGGGGACTATGTCCCCACACTCCCCGGCCCTTCTCCCACAGCTCCAGCCCACTCGGGGACTATGTCCCGACACTCCCCGGCCCTTCTCCCACAGCTCCAGCCCCTCGGGGACTTCGTCCCCACACTCCCCGGCCCTTCTCCCACAGCTCCAGCCCACTCGGGGACTATGTCCCGACACTCCCCGGCCCTTCTCCCACATCTCCAGCCCCCTCGGGGACTGCGTCCCCACACTCCCCGGCCCTTCTCCCACAGCTCCAGCCCACTCGGGGACTATGTCCCGACACTCCCCGGCCCTTCTCCCACATCTCCAGCCCACTCGGGGACTATGTCCCGACACTCCCCGGCCCTTCTCCCACATCTCCAGCCCCCTCGGGGACTGCGTCCCCACACTCCCCGGCCCTTCTCCCACAGCTCCAGCCCACTCGGGGACTATGTCCCGACACTCCCCGGCCCTTCTCCCACAGCTCCAGCCCACTCGGGGACTGTGTCCCGACACTCCCCGGCCCTTCTCCCACATCTCCAGCCCACTCGGGGACTGCGTCCCCACACTCCCCGGCCCTTCTCCCACATCTCCAGCCCCCTCGGGGACTATGTCCCCACACTCCCCGGCCCTTCTCCCACATCTCCAGCCCCCTCGGGGACTGTGTCCCGACACTCCCCGGCCCTTCTCCCACATCTCCAGCCCACTCGGGGACTGTGTCCCGACACTCCCCGGCCCTTCTCCCACATCTCCAGCCCCCTCGGGGACTGCGTCCCCACACTCCCCGGCCCTTCTCCCACATCTCCAGCCCACTCGGGGACTATGTCCCGACACTCCCCGGCCCTTCTCCCACATCTCCAGCCCCCTCGGGGACTGCGTCCCCACACTCCCCGGCCCTTCTCCCACATCTCCAGCCCCCTCGGGGACTGCGTCCCCACACTCCCCGGCCCTTCTCCCACATCTCCAGCCCCCTCGGGGACTATGTCCCGACACTCCCCGGCCCTTCTCCCACATCTCCAGCCCACTCGGGGACTGTGTCCCGACACTCCCCGGCCCTTCTCCCACATCTCCAGCCCCCTCGGGGACTGCGTCCCGACACTCCCCGGCCCTTCTCCCACATCTCCAGCCCACTCGGGGACTGCGTCCCCACACTCCCCGGGCCCTTCTCCCACAGCTCCAGCCCACTCGGGGACTATGTCCCCACACTCCCCGGCCCTTCTCCCACAGCTCCAGCCCACTCGGGGACTATGTCCCCACACTCCCCGGCCCTTCTCCCACAGCTCCAGCCCACTCGGGTATATGTCCCCACACTCCCCGGCCCTTCTCCCACATCTCCAGCCCACTCGGGGACTGCGTCCCCACACTCCCCGGCCCTTCTCCCACATCTCCAGCCCACTCGGGGACTGCGTCCCGACACGCCCCGGCCCTTCTCCCACAGCTCCAGCCCACTCGGGGACTATGTCCCCACACTCCCCGGCCCTTCTCCCACAGCTCCAGCCCACTCGGGGACTATGTCCCCACACTCCCCGGCCCTTCTCCCACATCTCCAGCCCACTCGGGGACTGTGTCCCGACACTCCCCGGCCCTTCTCCCACATCTCCAGCCCCCTCGGGGACTGTGTCCCGACACTCCCCGGCCCTTCTCCCACATCTCCAGCCCCCAGCCGATCTTCCCCTCACCCAGAACACATGCTCACTCTCTCGTCTACAATGCAGAACTAGTCGTTTCCCTAAACCTGCTTCCCTCTCGCTCTGCACGCCCACCCCTCGCCTGCTGGCTCTTCGCAACGAAACCTGAGTCAGCGTCTACACCCGCCGCCCCCAAGCCCGACCTCCCGCTCTGCCTGGCCCCGGCCCAGCTGTGGACCCTGCTCCCAGTCCCGCTGCGCCCACGGGGAGGCTGCCAACTCACAGAGCAGCCGGCTGGCCTTACACTGTTCACAGCTTCCACAGCCTTTCCTTTTCATTTCTGTGCAATTAAGCCTTTCAACATTTTTTCCTGTTTTCCCCTCGTTGTTACGCTTAGAAAATGCTCTGTCTGGAAGTCAGAGGTTCACCCCAACATCTCCGCACGTACTTTAAGGCCTGTGTTCTCTCACTGAGCTGAACCCTGAGACCGCGTGTGGTTTCAGGGAGGGTCTCACCTGCTTTTCTTTTTCTCAACAGCAAACTTTCCCAGCACCATCTGCTCCCCCCGCTCCCCAGCATGAGCCCAGTTCCCCTTCACCCATGTCCTACACACCCGGAGGTCCCGCACACCTGGGAAGCCCCGCCCCCGTCAGCGCGGCCTCACCTGTCCGCTGGGAACACCTCCGCGCTGTCCTGCCGGCTCACCCGGGGAGGCGCTGGCCTGGCACTGCCAGGCCGAGGAATTCTTCTGAACCCAGACAGTGGAAACAAAACAGCATACTTAAAACACGTCCACATTTCAAAGTGGATAAAGAAAACCCAGGTCCAGTCAACAGACTTGGGCCACCACCCGCCTGCTAGTCTGCACATACACTGCAGAATATCAAGAACATACCATTAACCTCAAAGCATCCATCTTTTAATCCTAAATGTTCATTAATTTTAAGGTACAAAAACCACAACTATCAGTAATCAAAACGTGACATAATCAGTCATAATTACAAACTCCCTAAGTCCAACGTGCTCCGCGTGTGGCTGGCTGTCACGCAGGCACAGAAGACTAGACACACGTCTTGCCTTTCACACAGATGTGTCCGCAGAGTCAGGTCGAGCACCACACGGCTGCGGAGCACCCAGAGGAGCCTGTCGCGGGGGTGTGGGGTCACACGCACCTCATGCCGGCCGGGAGCTCCGCGGGGCCCTCAGAGTTCGCGGACACCTCCGGCTTGTCCTGGATGACGGGTCCCACTTCTTCTGAAGGGACGGCGCCCAACCAGCAGTCTGCAAAGAAAGGACCATGACAGCTGACCCCCTGGAGAAGACAGCGGCCACACAACCGCAAGGCAGATGAGCTCCCCATCTGCCACGAGGGGCGACGAGGACACTGGCACGAGCTCTGCAGAGACAGGGGTGCTCCCTCCAGCCCCTCGAGCTCCACAGACAGAGCAGAGCGCGGCAGGCAGGGAGCAGGCAGGCAGGCGAGCAGGCAGGCAGGGGAGCAGGCAGGCAGGGGAGCAGGGGGGCAGGGGAGCAGGGGGACAGGGGAGCAGGGGGGCAGGGGAGCAGGGGGGCAGGGGAGCAGGCGGGCAGGGGAGCAGGGGGGCAGGGGAGCAGGGGGGCAGGGGAGCAGGCAGGCAGGGGGGCAGGGGAGCAGGCAGGCAGGGGAGCAGGCAGGCAGGGGAGCAGGCGGGCAGGGGAGCAGGCGGGCAGGGGAGCAGGGGGGCAGGGGAGCAGGGGGGAAGGGGAGCAGGCAGGCAGGGGAGCAGGCAGGCAGGCAGGGGAGCAGGCAGGCAGGGGAGCAGGCAGGCAGGGGAGCAGGCAGGCAAGCAGGCAGGGAGCAGGCAGGGAGCAGGCAGGGAGCAGGCAGGGGAGCAGGCAGGGAGCAGGCAGGGAGCAGGCAGGGAGCAGGCAGGGAGCAGGCAGGGGAGCAGGCAGGGAGCAGGCAGGGAGCAGGCAGGCAGGGGAGCAGGCAGGCAGGGGAGCAGGCAGGCAGGCGAGCAGGCAGGCAGGGGAGCAGGCAGGCAGGGGAGCAGGGGGGCAGGGGAGCAGGCAGGCAGGCGAGCAGGCAGGCAGGCGAGCAGGCAGGCAGGGGAGCAGGGGGGCAGGGGAGCAGGCAGGCAGGCAGGGGAGCAGGCAGGCAGGGGAGCAGGCAGGCAGGGGAGCAGGCAGGCAGGGGAGCAGGCAGGCAGGCGAGCAGGCAGGCAGGGGAGCAGGCAGGCAGGGGAGCAGGGGGGCAGGGGAGCAGGCAGGCAGGCAGGGGAGCAGGCAGGCAGGGGAGCAGGCAGGGAGCAGGCAGGGGAGCAGGCAGGCAGGCAGGGGAGCAGGCAGGCAGGCAGGGGAGCAGGCAGGCAGGGGAGCAGGCAGGCAGGGGAGCAGGCAGGCAGGGGAGCAGGGGGGCAGGGGAGCAGGCAGGCAGGCAGGGGAGCAGGCAGGCAGGCAGGGGAGCAGGCAGGCAGGGGAGCAGGCAGGCAGGGGAGCAGGGGGGCAGGGGAGCAGGCAGGCAGGCAGGGGAGCAGGCAGGCAGGGGAGCAGGCAGGCAGGGGAGCAGGCAGGCAGGGGGGCAGGCAGGCAGGGGAGCAGTCGGCACTCTGGCGTCAGGGAGTCCAAGCGGAGAAGGGCGTGCCCCAAGCACACCCACAGGCATCGAGCAGGTGGGCGTCCCCGCAGCCTCATGTGACCACGGGGGGCAGCGACACCGCACACGAGTTCCAGATGCCGTACAGGCAGGGAGGGTGGATTTGCGGGGCTTCTCATTTTCCTCCACACTCTCCTGGTTTTAAATGTTTCTGCTTTGGGTTTGTACTAGATTCTATTTATAATTTGAACAAAGTTTTCTTCACTTTGATAAAAAGATTTCATCGGTAACTAATAAGTCCAAACTATTAAGACAATTCCATTTGCTCCACTATTTAAAGTAAAAAGGCTCTACACTTTAGAAAATAGTGAAAATCCATCAGAATTTGAATATTGAAAATATACTTTATACTATGGGAAAAAAATCATGAAATGTATTATTTAACACAAAAACATGTCAATTGCCCAGCTGGTGTGGTTCAGCTGGTTGCCAAGAGGTCACTGATTCGATTCCGGTCAGGACACATGCCTAGACTGCAGGCTCAATCCCCAGTGGGGAGCAGGCAGGAGGCGGCCGATAGATGTTTCTCTCTCGTGGATGTTTCTCTCTTCCCCTCTCTCTCCCCCTCTTCCTTCTTCTTTCTCTAAAATCAATAAAAACATATTTAAAAAAAACATGTAGAGCCCTGGCCAGTTTGGCTTGGCAGTTACAGCGTCGGCTCAAGGAAAAAGAGTTACAGGTTCGATTCTGGTCAACGGCACGCACCTCGGTTGTGGTTCGTCCCCGGTTGGGGTCATGCGGGAAGCAACCAATCAATGTGACTCTCTCACATCGATGTCTCTCTCTTTCTCCCTCTCTCCTTCCTCCTTCCACTCTATCTAAAAACCAATGGGAAAATATCCTCGGGTAGGAATTAAAAGAAAAAAAAAGAAAACCACGTAGATTAAATCTTAAGTTAGCGTAGGTAGATATGTTCACGGACACATCTACAGCCTAAACCTGGAGCGGGTCTGAGCTGCACACGCGACACAGTCACAGCGGACACTCACTCGGCCGATCCTCACCTGCGTCGCGAGGGGAGTCACCTGGAGAAAAGGGAAAACGCGCATCAGAAACTCCCTGCGCATCGCGAGCCTCAGTATCCGGAACGGGCAGAACAGCATCACAGGAAACCACACAGTGAGCAGTTCTGACGTCCACGGGGGGACGGTCGTGACAGCAAGGAACACTGACCGTGAAGTATTATCACACGAAAACAGGCAGCGGGTCTGAAGAAAGTGTGTCACAGAAACAAGCAGACCGGCCGGCACACACTGATGGGACTGGAAGTGCGGACACTGGCTGCGACCGCGGGGTCCAGGGCGGCAGTGACCGCAGCGGACGGACCACGGCCACTGTCAGGGCTCCGGGTGAGACCAAGCAGATGCCTCACCTCACTCGCCGGCCAGGGTTTCCCATCAGCTCCTCAGTCAGAAACTCCCTCAGGCTCCACACAGGCCGCCTTGTGCGCCTCACGAGGCCTGAGAACCTGCACGTGGCAGCCTCGGTCCCCACGGTCCACATGTGACCAAGCTGCCCTGCAAGCATCACTGCAGACAACTCAGGGAGGGCTGGGCACGAGGGAAAAGGCCAGGAGACCCGGCAGCCAGAGTGCCCGCGTCCCGGCCGGAGACACGCCAGCCAGGGTGCCCGCGTCCCGGCCGGAGACACACCAGCCAGGGTGCCCGCGTCCCGGCCGGAGACACACCAGCCAGGGTGCCCGCGTCCCGGCCGGAGACACACCAGCCAGGGTGCCCGTGCCTCCACGCAGCCAGGGAAGCGATGTGGGGCACCAAGTTCTAACGGACAGACCTGAACGTAACCACGAGCTTGGAAGCTGTAGGTGATCCATTTCAGAAAAAAACACTCCAATATTTTTAAGTTCTGTTTTATATGAAAATGTCAAATATTTTCTGTACTCTCGACCCCACTGGCACAGTAAGTAATTGCAAATGTGCTATCATTATTCTGTAGTTCAAGGAGACCAGTGACATTTGCACAGTTTTCTTTTTAAAGTTCTGGTCATTTGTCCGGCCAGTGTGGCTCAGTGGTTGAGCGTCGACCCTGCATCAAGACGTCGCCGGTTCGATTCCCGGCCAGGACACATGCCCAGGTTGTGGGCCCGACCCCTAGTGGGGGGCCTGCAGGAGGCGGCCAATCGATGTTCTCTCTCATCGATGCTTCTATCTCTCTCTCCCTTTCACTTCCTCTCTCTAAAATCAATAAAGGAAAAAATAAATAAATAAATAAATAAAGTTCTGGTCATTTTCGTGAGGAAGCTTCCCTCAACTTGGACTTCACACAAGTAGAAGAACAGAGAAACAGGCTGCGCATCCACTAATTATACAACCGATTCTTCATCACAGAGGGAAGGCTGGCTAGTGTGCCAAACAGCCCAAAGAAATAACATACCCACAGAAAATCAAAATTACTATAAACTGGCAAAACCCCAAGCACACTAGCACACGTGCTGTCTGAACCAGCAGGAACCCAGAAACCTGGCCGGCCAGGTGCAGGCCGGCGTCAGGCCTTCCTGGGCTCTGATGCCTTCCTGAGCGCAGCCTGCCGTCAGCCCGAGGCACCACGTGCAGAGCAGGGAGCCTACGGCAGGCCCCGTCCCCGAAGCTCCCCGACCGCGCGGACCGCCCACAACCAGCACAGCCAGCCTGCCACTCTGCCAGGGCCCGGTGCCAAGTTCAGCTGCAGAGTTGCCGACCAAGTTTAGATGTGATCCGGTACCCAGCGTGTGGCACAAGGGGTCTGGCTGGCCCAGTGATCAGCCTTAGTCAGCATCGTGTGAAGGGACGCAGGGACACGGAGTGCACCCCGACAGGGGCCGAGGAGAAGGGGACAGCACACCGGCATCAGGGCGAGGGGAGCAGGATACCCTGCCCAGATCTCAGCAGCCTTAGGTCTGCCGGCACACGGGACAGTAGGGAGCAGAGGGGTCATAAGTCAAATGGCACCACAGGGCACAACCGGACAAACCCGAAGGTGGAACACCCTACAAGACAACTGTCCAAAGTCGCCGTGGAACCCAGGGGCAGAGTTAGTCCCAATTCAAAGTAAAGAGGCAAAAATAATAACAAAAATACAGTGTATTAATCTTAACTGGATCTTGGTTTTTGAAAACATAGGAACATTTTTGAGACAGCCGGCCTGGGTTTGGGGTGTATCGGGGTTTAGATGGCAGTGAGAATTGTGTTAGGCGCAACAACCATTTGTGCTGTGCAGGAGTGTTTCTTGCTTCCCAGCTGCGTGCAGAGGTGCAGGGAAGTGTCGAGAAGCGGGGTGTCGGGAAGCTTCAATACGCTCCGGAAGAGTCCGTACGAACGCACAGCCACAACAAAGCAAACGGGACAAAATGTTACCCCACTGGATCTGGGTGACGGTAGATGGGTCCTAATCATTCTACTGTGTCTACTTTTCTGTGTCTTCCGCGACAAAGAAGCTCACACAGTAGAAGGAAGCTAGGGGAGGGCCTGGAGCACCGTGAGACGCGGTGGCCGCACGCTCCGAGGGCAAGGGCCGCGCGCCGCAGGGAGAGCACAGGCAGCAGGCGGCTCCGTCCCCATACCCAGCAGGGGAGAAACAGGTCAGGTTTTAAAATAAGTGAATACATTCCTTGTGGAATTCTTCAATCCACCAGGAAAAGCAAACGATAGTACAGCCCACGAGTCCTCCTGCTCCCCGGCCAGCGCAGGGCCAGCCTCCCGGCACGGCACAGGCCGGCAGGGCCAGCTGGGTCGGCACACGCGGGCACAGCTCTCCTCGGAGCACGAAGAGTGGCGGGAACTGGGGGAGGTTCATCAGCCAGCCCAGCGGCACTGGTCTGGAACCCCACTCAGCGAGAGCGGTTAAGGAAGGACACCTGCAGCCGAACCCCGCACTCGAACGTTAGGTGACTGCCACGCAAGGTGACAGCTGTGGCCCTGGCCGGCTCAGCGGTTGGAGCGTCGGCTCAAGCACGGAAGGGTCGAGAGCTCAATTCCCAGTCAAGGGCATGTACCTGGGTTGCGGGTTCGATCCCTGGTCCCAGTCGGGCTGCATAAGAAAGGCCACCCTCTCTCACATCAATTTCTCTCTCTCCCCCTCCGCCCCCCACTCCTCCCTCCCTCCCGCTCTCTAAAAATCAATGACAAAGGTATCCTCGGGGGGGACTCACACAAAAGAAAAAAAAAGATGACTGCCTTGACTGGTGTGACGGCGATGAAAGGGACACAGGTGTCCAGCGGCAGGACTCAAGGGAATAAGCGTCTGGGGGAGGGTCAGGAGTCGCCAGGTGCACCCAGGGAAGCAAGCATGCAAGACTGCTCACAGCCAGCAGGTGGCGCCCCGCATCGTCCTACTCCCGGCGAAGCAAGCACTGGGCTGCGGGGCCTCCGCGGTGGACAAGGTGATGATCTACACCTGAGGAACTGGTCCAGCGAGCACTCTGTCCCGGCTGGGCTCTCAGGGATGTGTGGTGCAGCAGAGCAGTGCGCAGGCCTGTGACGGGCCATCACTTTGGACATCTCATTCGCTGTGACCCGTGGGGCTTGCTCAAGGCCAGCAGGCTGGCTGTCAGCGGGGCCAGTGGATTCTAACTGCTGGTCTGGGACTCCCGGATAGACACTGTCCGCTCCACGCCCACACCCCTCTCCTGCAGCCCACGGACTGCCTGGGAGCTTCCCTCTGGGACCCTGCCCACAGCTGAGAGACACTGCCGCTGACATGAAATAAACGCGCCATCCCAAGATGCGGCGGAACTGCAGCCTGCGGGCCCTGTGCAAAGCTTGTTCGGGCAAGAAGTCACCCTGCTCCAGCTCAGCGCCCGCTGTTCACCGTCCCGCGGTGCCTGAGGCCTAGATACTCCGCAGAGCTGACCTACTTGGAGTAAACCACCACGCCCCCTCCACCGTCCGCCTGTGGACCCCCGGAGCAGGCTGCAGACGCACCCCTCAGAAAGGAAGCTCTCAGGGAAAGCGCATGGCAGGAAGTTGTGCCTATCATCATTCTAGCTGCAGGTACAGAATTCTTTCTTTTTTAATCCTCATCAAGGATGTTTTGCCATTGATTTTCAGAGTGGGCGAGAGAGACACACTGACTGGCTGCTTCCCGTGCAACCCCAGTCAGGGCCAGGGACAAACCACCACTGACCAGAACTGAAGCCACGAATCCCTGGTCCGCAGGCCGCTGAGCCAAACCGGCCAGGGACAGGTACAGCACTTTAAACATCAGAGAGATACAGGGCACGTTCAGCCTAAAAGTTTTTATCTTTCCCTATAGTCAAAATTTCCCTTCAACGTCACTCAAGAATTCTAGTATTTCTGAAGAACTGAGTTTAATATCACAGAAGACTACAATTACTGTTATTTAACTGAGCTCATCCCATTTGAAATTCCAACTTCATACATCTAATTGTTCATGTCAGCAGGCGAGACGTGTACCCGCCTCACACTGCCCACCGCACCCAGAAAAGGACATGGCACAGCCCCGTGCCCGTGCCCACCTCACACTGCCCACCGCACCCAGAAAAGGACATGGCACAGCCCCGTGCCCGCCTCACACTGCCCACTGCACCCAGAAAAGGACATGGCACAGCCCCGTGCCCGCCTCACACTGCCCACTGCACCCAGAAAAGGACATGGCACAGCCCCGTGCCCGCCTCACACTGCCCACTGCACCCAGAAAAGGACATGGCACAGCCCCGTGCCCACCTCACACTGCCCACCGCACCCAGAAAAGGACATGGCACAGCCCCATGCCCGCCTCACACTGCCCACTGCACCCAGAAAAGGACATGGCACAGCCCCGTGCCCGCCTCACACTGCCCACCGCACCCAGAAAAGGACATGGCACAGCCCCGTGCCCGCCTCACACTGCCCACCGCACCCAGAAAAGGACATGGCACAGCCCCGTGTGCCCGCCTCACACTGCCCACCGCACCCAGAAAAGGACATGGCACAGCCCCGTGTGCCCACAGTAAGCACCGTCCAGTCTTCCCTTTGGGCATTTTCTAGAGCCGAGCAGAGCAGGGGGAAACTGGAAGACGATCTCTCTAACACCCACATCATGTTGTAAAATCCCAACTGCAAGACAAAGAAAGCATCTTGGTTTAGATGCAAAAATAAGTTGTACGGAAAGGCACCGAAGGGTTGACTTACGAGCTGTGTTCTTCGTCTTTATCACGTAACTTAGCAAATTAAATAGAAGGTCAAGTCATTTCCGATCTTCACGACATTGTGATGAACACTAATTAAAGTGGTTAGAATAATAAACAAAATGACACAAGTCCACTGAGATGTAACCATTTCACACCGACGTGGTGAGAAGTGTAACCTACAGCACCTCTTTCTCACCTATTTCCGCACCTGCCGCCTCCTGACCTGGCTCGTCGCTTAGTCCAGACACCATGGGTCTGACACGCTGGCCGAAGGCTGACCCACCTCCCAGCCCCCACCTCTCCCACCCCAAGACCAGGTGTGCAAAGGCCTAGGTTGGGTGCTTCTGCTGGGCTCACGGGTTTATGCCGAGGTCACTAACAGTCCCGGCTTCTAGAGGACACCCTCTCGGAGCGTCAACGAGCCCCCCTCCTGAACTGCCCCCTTGGCTTTCGGGACACACTCTCCAAACTCTGCTCCGACGTCCACGCCCCTGCCAGCCCCCCCCGGCCCAGCACAGAGGGCAGCCCCGAGCACCGGCCTCCCCGCTCCAGGCTGAGGGTGGCAGGAAGGCCGGGCGGGAAAGCCCACCTGCATGCTAACAACTCCCACCTCTTTCTGCTCATGTTCAGGTTCTCCAGCTCTGACCTGGAGCCCCAGGCCACACCCCTGACCGTGGTCTCAGCACCCCACCGGGCTGGGTCACAGGCATCACAGAAACAGGGCTCCTGCCACCGCCACCGTTGTGCCACCCGCTTCACCCACAGCCTCCTGCTTCAGGGTGCCAGCCCTCCCCGGGGACCCAGCTTTGACTCCTCTCCTTTCTCACAAGCGCCATCCAGTCGTCAGCACACACACCTGCACCCCGTCCGTCGTTCTCACCAGTGACCCTCGGTCCCACCGCACAGCCCCTCCCCCGCCGCCACACTCAACCCTCTGCAGTTTTAAAAGAAGATGCTTCTGCCCTGGCAGGGTGCTCAGTGGTTAGAGCATCGGCCCATGGACCGAAGAGTCATGGGTTCAATTCCAGCCAAGGGCACATACCTCGGCTGTGGTTCGGTCCCCAGCCCTGGTTGGGGTCATGCAGGAGGCAACCAGTCCATGTGTCTCTCACACACTGCTTTTCCCACCCCCACTCTATCTGAAGATAATGGAAAAATATCCTCGGGTGAGAATTTTAAAAAATAAAATAAAATAAAAGGAGATGCTTCTAAAACCAAAGTCAAATCCTGTCCCTATCCTGCTCAACCCAAGGACCTCTGCCACGTGGCCTGCCCACCCGTGAGCCCCCCTCCACCAGGTCCCCTCTGCTGCAGCCTCGGCAGGGCTTCCTGAACTCCAACAGGCAGCCCGCCCCCGCCGCGACCCCTGCTGCTGGGCACCTGCGTGTGCCCTTCCCCAGCTGTCCCGGGCCTCCCCAGAGGCCCTGCCTGCCTACACAGCCCGCAGCCTCGCCCACCCTCCGGGCTCACAAAGGCGAGGGCACGCAGGCGTCCTCCCTGTCCCGTCTTCTCCCGCCAGACCGCTGTCCCCGAGGGCAGGTGCTCCGCGGCACTGGCAGGATGGAGAAATGACGCTCTACCGGCTCCACCGCACAGGCTCGGCCGGGGCTGACTCCTGGCAGGAAATCCTCGCAGCCCAGCCGCTCTGGCGGCCGGGGCCCACTGCCCTCCTGCCCCACCCCACGCCCGCCACAGGCCCAGGTCACGCTGGCCGCACTTTGCTGACCGGCCGAGCTCCACCTGCTCAGCGATGGAGCAGAAGCAGGGCACAGGCGCTGCGGGCCGGCTCGCAAACATCCCGCACGGCCTCCGCAAGGCGGGCGGCCCCGGCTCCGGCCCGCTCCTGCTCAGCTGCACCGAGCTCACCGCTCCACAGCCCCTCCTTCCTGACAGCGGCCGCACGGTGAGCATCCCCCTGAACTGGTGTGACACTGCCCGGCCATCACAGACGCGACACGTAGCCCCACACAGCGGCGCTGTGCCGTGACGCACTGCTTCAACCCCAGGCAGGAGCGCGCTCCCTGCAGAACGTTTGGGAGTCTGCGGGTTCTAGATGCTTCCATATTCTAACGGCCCAACAAGCATGACACCCACACTCCAGTGCACAGCGTCCCTGCACCTCACGCACCTCGGGTGCTGGCCCTTCCCCAGGGTGCTCCCATGTCAGCGGACAGGTGAGGTCAGTGCCCTGGCCAACAGGAGGAAGACAAGGGTCAACTGATTTGTTGACAGCTCGGGAACACCATAAAGCCTCCAATCCTGACAGTGACATGTGCTCGAGACCCCGCAAAGGAACCCACAGCACCAGCTCACCCCTGGACTTGCACACAGACATCATGAATTATTAGAAGGCAGACAATACGGCTGCTGGCTTAAACAACCCCAAAAGTCAACAGAACTAGGGGTCGCAGGCTAGACTTAAGATACAACTGCAACCACTGAGAAACGTCTGCATCCCAACGATAAACGGTGAGGGACACACAGGAAGATTCGCTTCCAAAACAGTAAAACAAAACAAACGACCAAGTAAACCGTGACACGCACACACAGCTTGGGAGGCAGCAGACACCTGCAGTGGTTAATTACACTCACCATCCAAGCCTAATTTCTAAATCTAAGATTTCACTCTTGCCACACTTCTTGAACTTTCCCCATTTAGGAAAAGGATGGTCCTTCAGAGCTACATACTACTGCTCATTCCAAGTGACTTTATACTCAACTGAAACCTGCAGCGGCACGTCCACACTGGCTGCCTCCCTGCCCACTTTCTGTCTGTCACAGTGAGTCTACCTTTGGGCCAGGCCAGGCCAGGCCTGTTCCTGCAGCCTCAGCATTAGCTTGATCTCCCAGGATAACGTCTGCTCTGTTTTAGGCGCATGGAAACCATCTGTGTAAGAGCAGAAGGCTCCTTCTGCCCATCCTGCCTCGGGGTGAAATTCAGTTCATCATACAAGAGTCATGGAAACATGGATGACATGCATATTTCTGGAAACTTAAAACTGGATCACATCTTTTAGATTGCAATACAGATCTCCAGCAGAAAGGTGCCCCTGCCCCAGTGTCATGAGCTCACACATGTGTGTGTGCATGTGCATGTGCACGCGCCTGTGTGCATGCTTGTGCGTGTGCGCGCACCCGTGTGCATGCTTGTGCGTGGGTGTGCACATGTGGGTGTGCACGTGCCTGTGTGCATGCTTGTGTGTATGTGCGCCCGTGTGCGTGCTTGTGCATGTGTGTGTGCACCTGTGTGTGCACACATGGGTGGGTGTGCGCCTGTGTGCATGCTTGTGCATGCGGGTGTATGTGTAGTGCACCAGTGTGCATGCTTGGCATGTGCATGTGTGCGCGCCTGTGTGCATGCTTGTGCCTGTGTGTGCGCCTGTGTGCATGCTTGTGCATGTGTGCGTGCCTGTGTGCATGCTTGTGCATGTGTGCATGCACATGTGCATGTGTGCGCCTGTGAGCATGCTTGTGCAGGTGGGTGTGAGCATGTGCGTGTGTGCGTGTAAGAGCCACATATCTTCATCCCTTCACGGCCCCTGTTCGCCCCCGAGGGCAGACCTGCTTTCGGGCAGGGGTGCCCACCAGACGCTGTGATTAAAGCAATGAAGCAAAGCCCCGCATGGTGTGTTTTGCTGTACCTTCCACGCCGACTTTGGGTCGCTCTTTTGATGTCTTTGTTGCCATTGGCCTGGACGCCCTAGTGGAAATCTCAGTCTTAAAGAAAAGAGAGTGAAAACAATTAATGGATGCATCACCTAGAGATGCCACGAGCAGAGACAGGATCCATGCTCGCTCGAGGAGCAGGAAATGTCACGAGGTCGTCCACACCGGGAGAGGGACCAACAGGGACTCGGAGCATCTAAGTGCTCAAGGCCTGAGGACTAGAGGGAGGCTGAGCCCTCGGCTACCTCCGAATTTGGAATTCCATCTTTTGTGAGGTCCCGAAAAGGCCAGCGATCTGCCAACCAAGCTCGACTCAACCTCTGCTGCTACACGCCTAGTCACACCTAATCACACCTAGTCACACGTGTGGGCAGCTGTGAGCACGAACCAGAGCACACAGCTGGTCCCATCCCTCCCCCCACTGGTAGTTCCTGCCTCGCCATCTCCCTTCACTGGCCACAAGGGCTCCTGCCGGCCTCCTGGCCTCCACCCCACGCTGCGCCTGTCCTCCCCGGGCTGCCTGGATGTGCTCTCGGAAGTGCGAGCTGGATCGTGAGAGGTGGGGCGAGTCTACCCTCCCTCGGCTGCCCACTGGAGAAGGTGGGGTGCAGCCTCCACCGCACCCCAGCCACAGGACGCTGCGGGCCCGACAGGCCAGGCAGGTCTTGGCCTCCTCTCCCTGCTGCCTGGCCACTCAGTCCTCCCAGACCCATCTGAAGTGCACTGTCCCCCTTCCGATGACCACCACACCCCTTCAGAGCCCACGCATCACAATGGCAAACGAAGCTTTGAGGAAGGAAACCCAGGGTCTAGTGGGGAGACGGGGACAGTGCACCCCAGCTGCGTGTCCAGGCAGTGACCCCTCAAACCATCACTCCCAACAAGTGCCCCGGCCCTCCGGCCTGCAGCCTGGCCACGCCCTCCTGCCTTGGGCTAGGCGAGACCCGCAGTCACTGTTCCCAGAGCCACAGGTCTGCGTCTGTTAAACCATTTCTACAGCTTACCTCTGCTTCGGCTTTGGAGTCTTGGAAAGGCCCATCTGGCAACTTCTTAGACACCTCTCCGGAGCTTGATGACTATAAAAACACGTATTTTTCTTCAAATTCTGAACTTATTCAAGCCTGTCACATCTAAACAAGACATCAGATGCAAGGTGCTTCTTGACGACAACCGCGAGATAACCGCCTGTGTCCTGCTCCAGCTCTGACTCCTGGGGCTGTCAGCTGCCCGGATCCCAAAGGGCCACCTCGATCCCTCCCGCCCGGACAGAACTGGGGCGGCACTCATGGCGGTGCCTCTGGGGGACTGCGGGGCAGCTCTCCACACAGCAGCCAACCTCTGGGAGCATCCCCGTGAGACCCGGGGACCCGCAGTGGGGGAGGGGGAGCCACTCCTGTCACAGCTCTGAGAGCCGGTCCCTTTGAGATGGAGACTCCGACTCTGCATCAGAAAAGTACCCTCAAAACACACTACAGGAAAACTGTGAGCACCACCGCACACCTGATCAACCTGAGACACCTCGATACACCGTGAGCACCACCGCACACCCGAATCAACCTGAGACACCTCGATACACCGTGAGCACCACCGCACACCCGATCAACCCTGAGACACCTCGATACACCGTGAGCACCACCACACACCCGATCAACCTGAGACACCGCGATATACCGTGAGCACCACCGCACACCCGATCAACCTGAGACACCTCGATACACCGTGAGCACCACCGCACACCCGAATCAACCCTGAGACACCTCGATACACCGTGAGCACCACCGCACACCCGATCAACCCTGAGACACCTCGATACACCGTGAGCACCACCGCACACCCGATCAACCCTGAGACACCTCGATACACCGTGAGCACCACCGCACACCCGATCAACCCTGAGACACCTCGATACACCGTGAGCACCACCGCACACCTGATCAACCTGAGACACCTCGATACACCGTGAGCACCACCGCACACCCGAATCAACCCTGAGACACCTCGATACACCGTGAGCACCACCGCACACCCGATCAACCCTGAGACACCTCGATACACCGTGAGCACCACCGCACACCCAAATCAACCCTGAGACACCTCGATACACCGTGAGCACCACCGCACACCCAAATCAACCCTGAGACACCTCGATACACCGTGAGCGCCACCGCACACCCGATCAACCCTGAGACACCTTGATACACCGTGAGCGCCACCGCACACCTGATCAACCCTGAGACACCTCGATATACCGTGAGCGCCACCGCACACCCGAATCAACCCTGAGACACCTCGATACACCGTGAGCGCCACCGCACACCCGATCAACCCTGAGACACCTCGATACACTGTGAGTGCCACCGCACACCTGATTAACCCTGAGACACCTCAATACACCATGAGCACCACTGCACACCCGATCAACCCTGAGACACCTCGATATACCGTGAGCACCACCGCACACCCGAATCAACCCTGAGACACCTCGATACACCGTGAGCACCTCCGCACACCCGATCAACCCTGAGACACTTCAAAGTGGAAGAAGAGGAATAATCACCGAGGTGTCCTCTGTGAAGACAGAAGCACGGTGCCTGCTCACATTTCAACAACTAAATGTCCTCATCACATAATCATGACGGGCCGACGACATCGGCCGCCATGACCCTGCACAGACTCCCCCAGCCCTCGTGCACCCAGCAGTCCCGAGGTGACAGGGTGCCGGGCCCACCGATGTCCTGGTCCTTCACCCCCACAGGTCACTCTGCTGACCTCAGAGCACTTCACACCCACCATTTCACCTTTTCTCTTTGTTTTGGTTAATTCTCACCCGAGGATGTTTTTTCTATTGATTTTTTTTTTTTAGAGAGAGGGAGGGACACTGATGTGAGACACCGAGATTGGTTGCCTCCCAAAGGACTCCAACCAGAGCCAGAGATAGAACCTACAACCCAGGTACATGCTTTGACCAGGAATTGAACCCAAGACCCTTAGGTCCACGGGCCCATGCTCTAACCATGGAGCCAAACCAGTCAGGGCCCATTTCACTTTTTCTTCACAAACCCCAGAGGGAGGCTGAGATCAGCATCGTCTAAGCTGGACAGAGTCAAGGGGAGGCGAGCGGAGGGGATCCCGCACCCAAGCTGCCGTCACAGACAGAAGGGGGGACTGGCTTGTCCGTCTCTCTGGTGGCCCAGCTCTGAGCAGGAACACGGTCCCCTCACTCTGGCCTCACACACTCACACAGAACCGGCGTCTCACTTGGCTCCCCCAGGCCCCACGGATCACCTGCGAACCTGCGCTTCAGATGGTCTGTCATCAGGAGCGCACCCCAGCCCCAGCAAGCGCAGTGACAGCGTCACCCAGCCCGCGTCCGGCGCACGGTGGGACACACCGGCACATGCCAGTGCCTCAGAAAACGTGGGTCACTGATAAGCACTTCGTCTTAGCTCTCTGGAAAGAACAAGACACGGATGTCTCTGCATTTCTCAGACTCCTGCAGAACCCTGTCCATGACATCTGCCATGGGGTACCATGCTCCAGGCCCGTGGGGACCCTGAGGCTCCCAGAACACAAGCTCGATTACGAACAAACCAGTGTCCAGTGCCCAGGCCGCCCGCAGGGCAGTCCCACCAGCCCACCGACCCGTGCGGCACCCTGAGCACTGCGCCCCGAAACCAGAGGGCTGCCCCCAAGGAAGCGCCGCTCAGGCCTCGCCCCTCACCACCTGCACGGCACTGGGACTGACCTCGAACCTTTCCAGCCCTCAAGTCCCTCCTCCTAGCAGCTGGAAGCTGGAAGACCCCAACCTTCTTCCCAGAACCCCCACGATCGCAAGGTGTCCTCATGAGAGCAGGCCGCAGCAGCGCTGGCCCTGCCGGGACACCTGCACCGCCGGGAGTGACCCCAAAGCGACCTGCACGTTTAGAGAACGTTGGAACCAAACCAATTTTCTGGTCTATCCCAAGTTTATCTGAACATGTACTTAAACAAGAATTGGAAACGGAGGCTGACCGTTCTCACCCACTAACGCCTGAAGGACTCAGGAGTAGCGCCATCCTGAGGGGCGCCACCGGGCCCACAGGCCCCACAGGCCCCGCTGAGCCAGCCTATGAGCGCGCTCAACGGGGTCCCAGTGCTCCACAGACTCAGGGGGACACCAAGCGGCAGCAAGTCTGAAGTCACCCAGCAGAACACTGGCGTCTCTTCCAGCTTCCACTGGGACTCCAAGACTCCCGTCGTTTAAAGTTGTCAACTAAAAAACCAGTTTCCAGCCCCGGCCAGTGTGGCTCCGCAGTTCGAGCATCGGCCTGCGGACTGAAGGGTCTCAGGTTCGATTCCTAGTCAAGGGCACATTCCTAGGTTACAGGTTCAATCCCTGGCCAAGGCCGGGGCATGTGCAGGAGGCAGTCAATCAGTGTGTCTGTCACACCAATGTTTCTCTCTCTCTCTCTCCTCTCCCCCTTCCACTCTCTCTAAAAAAAAATCAACAGAAAATATATCCTTAGTTGAGAATTAACGACAACAACAAAACAGTTTCCTAACCACACTCTAATAAAGACAAAAACCATTTCAGAAAAGACCACAAACTCTAAGCTAGAGGCTTACGTTTTCAGAGGACTTTACCTTCTTCTCTGCTTTCTCATGTTCTCGGCTCTTCGCCTTGCTGGGGTCCCGGGCTTGCTCCCCGTCCCTCGCCCTCCGCCTGTCCCTGTCCCTGTCCCTGTCCCTGCCCTTGTCCCGCTCGCGCTCCTTCTCCCTGTCTTTCCACCGCTCCTGTTCTTTCCCCGCCGCGTTCTTCCTCTCGCGTACGCGGTCCAAATCCCGGTCCCGGTCCCTGTTGGCCCTGTCCCGGTCCCGGTCCCTGTTGGCCCTGTCCCTGTCCCTGTCAGGCCTGGCCCTGGCTCTGAGCCTCTCTCTCTCCTCATCGCGGAACTTGTCTCTCTCGGGGTCTTTCTGTCGGTCGCGGTCATTCTCTCGGGTCTTCTCCTTGTCCCCGCCCCTCTCTCTTGATTTACTCTCTTCCTTCAAGTCTTCTTTCTGTTTCCGATCTCTGCTTGTACTTCCCTCGTTTATTTCGGAATTACTTCTACCCTGAAAAAAAGTCAGACAATAAGACCACTTACAAATGTCTGCACCTGAACTACAAAGACTCACTGTCACGCTGCATGGCGTCACCGCGTGGTCACCTCTTTCTCCCTGGGCGCCCTGGGCTCCTCCTCTCTCGCATGCCGGCTGTCCGCGTCCTGAGGCCTCGACGTCAGGGAGGCCCTGCCCTTCACGTCCCCCTTCTCTCCAGCCAACACTCTCTTCACGGCGTCCTCACTGGACAGCTGCGGCCCCACCGGCAGGAGATAAAAGGGGGTGAAAATGGCTTCAGGCAAAGGGCAGCGTTCAAGGCAGCTCACTCCACGGACGCCCTCTACGTGAGAGGCGGAGACGTGCAGAGGGCGTGCTGTCACCACAGACTACGCTCAGCATCTGCCAGGACCCCCCACCAGCGCTGCGGTCAACAGCAGAGCCCACCCGCACTAAACAAATGCCGCTCCGAGTGCTGTTCAAGGACCCCCCAGGAGTGCCCCCCACTTCCCACGGGGTCAGGCGGCCAGCACGCAAGGACCTGAAGGAAGGATCTAACTCACGCCAGGAAATGAGAGTCCTCCGCAGCACCTGCCCGCCAGCCGGAGCCTGGGCACACCTCCGTTCAGGGTCCCCTCACTCACACACACACGCTCTCCATAAGGAGGCACTAGAGCCCAGACCACAGACACACTGGGTACTGGCCGAATACAATGGTTCAAGGGCCATGTGCCAGGCAACACAGTGGGGCACCACCCAGCCTGGCAGGAGGACAGGCTAAGGTCTGGCAGCTGCAGGGAGGGAACAACCAGGGCCGCAGACCGGCGCGGGCGCAGCAGAGGAGGGCACTGAAGGACAGGGAGTAGCCGCGGGTCTCGAGGGGCCTCTGGGCTATCTGCGCACCCCGCCAGACACAGGAAGACTCCAAGGGCTCAGCAGGGAAGACAGGGGTCAGATTTGCTTTTTAGAGAGAGGAGCAACGTGAAGGGTGCGGGGTGGGGCTTAGGGACAGAGACACCCCCTCTTAGCCCACCCCCCACACCAGCAAAATCAGCTCTGCATCTCCCAGCCGATGAGCTAGATGCACACCGGTGAGGCTCACCACTCGGCCACCCCGCTGCTGCCATGGGCAACGACGGAGGTCAGCCCAGCGCAACCCCCACCAGGTGCAGCAAGGGCTTTAGTAGCTGGCCCTGGGTAAACAGTCCAACTCCACTCCCTTGGGGGCTGCCCAGCTCCCACAAAGAAGGCAGGTCCTGGGGATGACCTTCTCCAGCATCCCAGCAAACAGGGGTGGGCTGGATCTAACCAGAGAGGCCACACTTCCAGCCCACAGCACGGACCTCAGGAAGTAACAGGTCCCGTCCCGGTGCGACTGGGACAGGGCTGCTCCGAAGGCAGCCCAGCTCTGCGAACAACAACCAGGAGAGGAGGAGGGAGGGGAGGGGAGGGGGGGAAGGGGGGAAGGGGGAGGAAGGAGAGGGGGAGGGGGAGGGAGGGGGGGAGGGAGGGGGGGAGGGAGGGAAGCAGACACCAGATGCAGGAAAGGCAGGCAGAGAACAGGGACGTCCCATGAGCCCAAAGAAGAGCAGCTCCTCCGTCCACCTGGGCCCAGTGGGAAACGCCCGGAAGGAGGCCCGGAAGGAGAACACTGAAGCCTGTAGACCTGGCATGCGTGCCTTCCCAGTTCTGAGGTGCCCCCGGCACTCCACGCTCCAGGGTAGGTGGGATCAGGGTCCAAGCGCAGCACTCAGAGCCCCTTCCCCACCCTGCCCCCAGGCTGGCGAGGCCCGGCACGCACTACCTTGCTGAGGCAGCACTTCCCGATCCTCTGCAGCAGCTCGTTGGTCCTCTCGGGCTCGTGCCCGGCCACGATCCGGGCCGGCTTCGCCGACACTGGCTCTCCTGAGACCAGCACCACCACGTCTATGGCCTTCTGCAGGAAGCTAATTTTTCCATCTTTATCCTGAAAGATTTCCATTTAAAGTACAAATAATAAAATACTTCAAAAAACTTTGCATTACCTTTAGTATGTTCAATAGGCAGTTATTGTTTGCATACAAAGCTATTTCAGATGTCAAATTTGAAAATACTGCCCCTCTATAACGAAACGAAACAGTTCAGCAAAGCTGTTAATGTCAGTGATGTTCTGTGCACCGCTGCCCCAGGTCCCAGCGAGAGGGGTGCAGTCACTGCAGGCGAGAGGCCGAGATGGAAACAGTGCACCGCGAGTCCCGGGTCACTCAACCCCCACTCCACCCACAGTCAGCACACAGATGCACACGCCATGGTACACAGCTTACAAATCCCATTCATTAGGCCATGGGGTGGGGCCCCTCAAACCGACCTTCACATTCTCTGACTTCATCTCGGCGTCCGTGTACAGGCCCTTCATGAAGCCAGTCACCCGAATCACCTTCGAATCGGAAAGCAAAGCCATGGTCAGCACCCTCGGGGAGCCTCTGCATCAGCCTCATCCACCGAACCCCACGCCTCCAGGCCGTCCACACCTGTCCGACCCACGATCTGATTCGTGGAGTCCCTCGCAAACACGTCTACCACGTGTGAGGCCTTGTACCAGACAGAACCCGGCCTGGCTGTGGGTACAGGTACCGTTACAAAGACTTGCAGGGTGACAAGGGAACAGGGGACAGTACCTCATCCAAACTCAGGAGGGGTGAGGGGTGGCAGGCAAGGCCTCCCAGAAGTCAGCTCTGACTGAGACCGGAGGCTCACAGGAGAAGAGCCGGGGGAGGGGTGCTGAGGTGTGCGCACCAGGCTACGCGGACAGTCCTGGAAAGGGCGGGGCCACGAGGGCGCTATTCCCAGGATCAAGATGTCTGGGGCAGGAGGGGCCGAAGCCAGGGCCAGGCAGGGGCCTGACTCCGATGGCCTTTGAAGCCATTCAGGAATATGGGCCCAAGGACCACAAGGAGGCCCTGTGAGGTGCAAAAACAGGGGACAACATCTTACAGGGTCCCTCGGGCCCACGGGAAAGAATGGAGTCCAGAAAGAAAAGGGTCTCAGCCTGGTTTCTGAAACTAGATGGAAGTTCTTTCTCCCTCACTGTGCTCCTCACTCCTGGGACAGAGCATGCTCCGGGCCTGCCACTTCTGCTCTCTCACCTTCCTCAGTAGCCCGCACCCCAATGACCCGAAAGCCAGCTCCCTGCCCTCCACATCCCCACGCACGGCAGGCCGGCTCCCCAGCGCTCTCAGAATGTGGGGGGTTGCTGTCGAGTCAACACAATGGTAACAATGGCATTTCTTAAAAGATGTTTTCATTGATTTTTCAGAGAGGGAGGAAGGGACAGAGAGATAGAAACATCGATGTTTCTCTCTCACATGGATCGGCTGCCTCCTGCACGCCCCCTACTGGGGATCAAGCCTGCAACCTGGGCACGCGCCCTGACCGGGAATTGAACCAGGACCTCTCCGTCCATGGGCTGGTGCTCAATCCACTGAGCCACACCGGCTGGGCAGTAACATTTTTTTTTTTTTTTATCCTCACCCGAGGACATTTGTCCATTTTTTTGTTCAGGTAGAGTGGGAGGGAGAGAGAGGAACAGAGAGAGAGAGAGAAACATCGACGTGAAAGGGACACATTGAGTGGCTGCCACCCGCACAACCGACCAGGGCCGGGGACAAACTGCAACCAAGGTACGTGCCCTTAGCGGGAACCGAACCCGGGTCTCTCTGGACCGCAGGCCGACGCTCTAACCGCTGAGCCAAACCAGCCAGGGCAGTAACATTTTTTAATTAAACAAAAATATGTATCAGACTGCACAGTATGCAGTAAGGATGAGCATACCTACGTGTGTGCGTCCCATGTGGAAATAAAGCGTATTTATTACTAGAGGACATTTTTTTTTAAAAAAAAAAGTCCCATGCAAAAATCAACTGCTTCTCTGAGACCCAGCTGCAGTCAGCTGTTCGTCAAGCTTTCATCTCTCATCACACTCCGTGTGAGCCATGCCTTCGCTTCTCCCAAGAAAACAGGTGGATATCAGGAGCATCTTGCACTGTGTATTCCTGGGAACTTGCCATTTGGTCTCTTTTGAGGTTTTCCCAGTTCCCTGGCAGTTAAAATTGTGAGTAATAATTTTAAATGTCAAGAGACATTAATATCACAACATCAATGCTTAGGAAAGAGGCAAAGTTAGTTTAGCTGTGGCTAAAATACTAAGAGGGTGACTTAAATACAACACTCAGGGGCGGTAAAGAATTTCCATACAAGGCTCTGCACGTATTACCTGAAAATGTTTCTAATATATCTGCCCAGGGGTACCCCAGACCCACAGGAGAGGCATGTCCCCACCTCCCTTCCTGACTCTCCATTCAATGGACAGACAGGACTCACAAGAAGGTAAAAGGGTAAGGCGGTAGTCGGCCAGGCTCCCATCCTGGTGACTGACCTGTGCCCTCCTGGGTTAGAGGACACTACCTGCTGGCTTCACAGGACGGAGGTGATGCAGCACACAGCTGTGTCCTTTCCCCACACACTGTACAGGAGGAGGTGGAGGTCAGACAGCCCTTTGGGTGTGGGTGGGATTCCAGGGAGTTTTAAGCACAATTGGGGTTTTTACACAGAGACACATATTATAAACAAAGACAGCAGAAGTGAGTAAAGCAGTCTGTAGAAGAGTAAGATACCCAACCTGCTGGAAAGAGTGAGACATGACTTCGAGGACGAACACGGGTGAGATCAGGAGCCCCAGGAAGTCTGCAGGTTCAAGCTGAGTCCTAACTCCACAGAGCACGCCCAAGTTCAGTGCCCATCCCTGGCCTCCATGGAGATGGGCGCCACCACCTGAGTTACCAGGAGTCTTGACAGGCTCCAGGTAACAGTGAATGTCTGTGTGCACCTTGTGTGTACTGTACCCAGTGCAGCTCACCTGGGACATGCCAACAAAGCTTCTGTCCCTGTCCCTCAGGAATTCACCTTCCTTCCACTGGGGAAAGTTACAACCAATCTCAGCCGAGGCAGGCGGTGCCACTGGCCAGCAGTACTGACCTGCTCTTTTACAGCTTCCCCTCTCAGGTCCCCTACCACCTCCTTCAGCAAATGCACCCACCAGTACTCATTACACATCCAACATGTGGTGACCACTGTGCAGAGCCCTGTGGAGGAAAACCCGGGGTGGGGGGGTGCGGTGGGGATGAGTAGTAATTTCCTTCTTCCAGGATTTCTGAGCACCTTCCACTTGCTAGGCACTGAAGGGGGAATACTGCTCTGGCAGGGGGAACGGAAGGGGTGCGCTAACAGATAGCGGCCAGGCTGGAAAGAAGCAATGACCAGGAGACTCCCCGGAGAGGTGGCCCTGGACGATGGGTGACGAGGGCGGAGCACGGCTGAAGGGGAGGCACCGCGGAATTTGGGCCCCGGGTCACCCCTCGGCCGGCAGGCCAGGCCAAAGGCGAGGTTCTGTGGGCAGGGGGCTGTGCACCGACACGCCAGGCCGGATACAGACGCCGGCCCTCATTCCGGCCCGGCGGACGACCCCCGACCTCGACCCCGGCCCACATCGGGGCCGGACCCTGACCCCGGACCTGCACCCGGGCCCCGACCCCCCACCTCGACCCCGACCCACACCCGGGCCAGTACCCTGATCCCGGACCTGCACCCGGGCCCCGGGCCCCGACCCCGACCTACACCCGGGCCAGTACCCTGATCCCGGACCTGCACCCGGGCCCTGACCCCCACCTCGACCCTGGCCCACATCGGGGCCGGACCCTGATCTCGGACCTGCACTCGGGCCCCGACCCCCACCTCGACCCCAACCTACACCCGGGCCAGTACCCTGACCCCGGACCTGCACTCGGGCCCCGACCCCCACCTCGACCCCGACCCACACCCGGGCCCGGACCCTGACCCCGGACCTGCACCCGGGCCCCGACCCCCCAACTCGACCCCGGCCCCGGCGCGCACTCTCGCCCGGCCCGGAGCCCACCTCCGTGATGATGTCGTGCAGGTAGCGGAACGGGGGCTTGCTCAGCAGCTTCTCCGTCAGCGGCGGCTTCCGAATCACCCTCCCCAAGGCCTCCTGCGTCCGCTTCACCACCGCCGCGTTCATGGCGGCGCCGCCCGCGGCCCCGCCGGCCCCACAAGCCCGAGCCCCGCTGCCCTGCCGCTCCGGCCTGGACGCGCCGCCCCGGTTCCCATCCCACAGTGCACCGCAGTCCGCCACGGCGCGTGCGCGGGGCCGCGGGCACTCGGTAGCCAGGGCAGCGGGGCCTTAGCAACGGACGCGGCCCGGCGCCTCGGGCCCCGCCCCCGGCTGCGCGCGCACGCCGGGCTGGGGTCTGCGGAGGAGCCGCCTGGCCTCCGCGTGCAAGGCTCGCGCCCTCTCCCCGCGCCCGCGGCGGCCCGGGAGGCGGGTGACCGCGCCGGCGTAGAGGTGACCGCCCCAGGAATGCTTAACGGCGACACGGCTCCCAAGATCAGGGTTGCTTGTCTCACAGATTAGATTCCAAGGCTCCTGGACTAGGCTCAGAAAACGGATCGAAAATGCCCAGTCCTGTTACTTAACCGGCTTCTTGCACAAACAGTCACTCGATGTCTCTGAGGCTCGTTTCCGTTCCCGTGAAGCAGGGACAGGAGGTGCCAGCCCCTCGCTCCCAGGGCGGAGAGCACCGAGCCCAGCTCGCAACCAGCGCGCAGCCGCGCCCGGGCGTTGTGCCGGGGGACGGGGCTCGGCGCCGCGGTCTCCGTCCACCTGCCCGGCTCCACCCGGAGCTCAGGCCTGGCTGTGGTTCTTCTCCAGGATACCTTGTAGCTTGTTTCCATTCCCTTCCGCCGTTCCCAGGGCGCTCCGTTCCTTGCGGAGATCCCCATTCCCGTCTGGGGTCGTGCTCCTCCTGTCTGAACGCCTCCCTTTACTGCTTCTCGAACGCAGGTCACCTGCCAGTGACCTCTCCCCACCTTTGGCTTGTCTGGAAGTCGTCATACCTTCACCTTGGAAAGACAGTTCCACTGACTGTGGTCATTTTTTTTCTTTCGGCCCTTGATTTTTCTCTACTGGCTTCTAGATCACAGTTTCGGGAAAGAAACCTGCTATTATTCCTATCCTCCTGTCTGTTGTGTGTGTGGCTGCCTTTGAGACATTCTTTTTTTTTTTTAATTTTTTTTCTTTATTGATTTTAGAGAGAGACGACGGGAGAGGGAGAGAGAAATAGAAGCATCGATGAGAGAGAACATCGATTGGCCGCCTCCTGCATGCCCCCCACTAGGGATTTGGCCCACAACCTGGACATGTGCCCTGACCGGGAATCGAACCAGTGTCCTCTTGGCGCGTGGGTCGATGCTCAACCACTAAGCCCCACCGGCCACGTGAGACATTCTTTTTATTATCAGTTTTCATAAGTTTGCCCATGATGTATCTAGGTGTGGAGTTGTTTACTTAAACTTTAAATTTGATTATTATTGACTTACAATAAACTTCGCCCATTTTAAGTGTGCAGGCCAATGCATTTTGGTAATTTTATGCAGTTGTTACCACCACCACCACAAGACGTAGAGAATTTCTGCACACACCTCTCCTGCTCATCATCTCCTCCTCCTCTCCAGCCCCAGGCAACCACTAATCTAGTTTTTAGTATCATAATTTTGACTTTTCTAGAGTTTCATATTAATGGAATCATACAATGCATAATTTGTTTGTGTTTAATTCTTTCTCTTATAATGTTTTTGAAATTCACCAACTTTGCTACATATGTTAATATGCCATTCCTTTTTGTGGCCGAGTAGTATTCCATCGTACAATTTGTTTATTCGTTCACTAGGTGGTGGACTTTGGAGTTGCTTTCCATTTTTTGTTATTTATGAATAACACGACTAAGACCATTCACATACAAGTCTGTGGAAGTGGGACGGCTGGATTGTACGTAAGAATATGTTTAGTTTTACAAGATACTGCCATACTGTTTTCAAAGTGGCGGCACCGTTTTTCATCCCCACCAGCAAAGTCTGGGATTTCTGGTGGCTCCATATCCCCCGATACCTGCTATGTCAGTCTTTTAACTTTTGTCATTCTAGTGAGTGTGTAGTGGTATCTTATTCTGGTCTTAATTTGCATTTCTCTACTGGTTAATGATTTTGAGCATCTTTTCACGTATTTATGAACATTCATATATATTTGGTGAAGATAGCCCATGAAGTGTCATTCGGGCATTTATTGAGTCACTGCCAAGTGCTGAGTGCTGTCCAGGTGCTGGGGATTCCGTGGGCAACTGCGTACCTTCTAGGAAGCAACTTCCTCACGTCCACTGCTGTCCACTGCTCCCCACTGCTCCTGGGAGCATCCCTCTCCCTGCTGCTAATTGCAGCCAGGACTGTGTGAGCTTTGGTCACCTGAACAGAGGCCAGGTGAACGACCAAGGCATGTCTCCCTTCAGCAGTGACAGCCTCATTCTGTCCACACTTCACCATGCAGGTGGCGGGCTGCATGAGACTTGACCGAGGTTGGCGGAAGCCTAAGAGAATGACACTCGATGATGAAAGGCATTTGATCACACACACTGTAGAAAATAGCCGCTGTGAACTGACCCTCGGGAAGCTTCCCCCTTGCGTGGCCCTCAGTTATTCACCCTGCTCCCCACCCCCTTGGCTGGAGCACCTCCACCTCTGAGCCCTGAGACAGTCCTCCACCAGACTCACACCCCAAGGCCGCGGCAGGACACTCACTGTGACCTTCGGCACTTCGGCCCCTTGAAACAGTCCAGGACGATGAGGGACACTTGAATGAGGCTCCTGCCAGGTCTCCCAAATTCCTGTCACTCCCTGAGTGTCCACATGTTTATCTTTGTCCCACATGTGCCCTGCTTCCCAAAAACAAACATTAATTCTCAAACAGTTCATTAAACCCCATAAAGAAGAATAAAATAGCCCGGCCGGTGTGGCTCAGTGGTTGAGCATTGACATGTGCACCAAGAGGTTGCTGGTTTGATTCCCAGTCAAGGCACATGCCCAGGTTATGGGCCTGATCCCCAGTGGGGGGCATGCAGGAGGCGGCCAGTCGATGTTCTCTCTCATTGATGTTTCTGTCTCTCTCTCCCTCTCCCTTCCTATCTCTCTAAAATCAATAAAGAAAAAAAAATTTTTTTTTATCCTCACCCGAGGACATTTTTTTTCGATATTTTGTGGAAGAGAGAGAGAGAGAAAAACATCGACATGAAAGGGACACGTCAAGTGGTTGCCACCCACACGACCAACCAGGGCCAGGGACAAACTGCAACTGAGGTACATGCCCTTAGCGGGAACCGAACCCGGGACTCTCCGGACTGCAGGCCAATGCTCTAACCGCTGGGCCAAACCGGCCAGGGCAAGAAAAAAAAATTTTTTAAGAAGAAGAATAAAAGCTTCTCAACGGCCTAGTCATTTGTGAACATTCTCACCCACGCTGAAACTAATACCTGACATTCACAGGGAGGAGGGTGTTAGCACCTGTCCTTCCCCTGGCCTGCCCACCTCCCAACCCCACCGAAAGTCTTTTCAAAGTGGGTTATAGTGGGACTGTCAGCTTCATGGCTGGGCCCTTAGTTCAGGAAGGCTGGCCCAGAGCTCTGACATGACTGGGCCCTGAGACAGGACGCAGTTGTCAGGGAGAGGGGGTGGGCGCCGGTCTCTCACCGAGGGCTGGGCGGAGCCCCTCCGAGGATGCTGCGGTGTCTGAGGGCTGAGCATTGGCCCAGACCTCTTCCCCGATCTGCTCACCATGGCCCAGCTGGGAGCCAGAGGCTGCTGTGAGAAGCACCCACCTCTGAGCTCCAAACATTAGCTGGGGGCAGTGGAGCAAGGGGTGCAGGGTGCACGCAGGGAGGTCACTGAGCCTGGCCTGACCCCAAGTGCCCTGCCTCCTCAACAGACACCCCAGCCCCTCCTCAGACAGTCCACAGTTCAGGGCCGCAGGAGCAGCTGTGGCCAGCAAGCGGTGTCGCGAGTCCTGGGGGAAGCGCCTGTGGCCCTGCAGAACTCTCCGGTCCCTGAGGCTCCACGGAGGACCCCAGCCAGGGCCACTCCAGGGGAGGTCTGATTCCAGCGCTCCCACAGTGGGGGGCCCTCCAGGCCTGCAGGGGTCCGAGTGCTCAGGTCCTCTGCTGTGTGGGACCTCAGGGCCGTGAAAGAACAAAGCTGCCCAACTCCACGGAGGGCCTGTCTGGGGGAGGTGGCTGTGGAATGGACTACGTCCCTGGAGGTCGCAGCTTTAACACTGACCCCCGGGAGGGGGGCATTCTGGTGCCTTAGAACGCAGGGCTGACAAAATGCAAGTAAACCTGTTCTGCTCCAAGGGAGAGACCTGGAACCAGGGCCGCAGGAGGGTGGGGCCAGAGGCCAGCCTGGAGCCTCCAGTTCTGGGAGCTGGCAGGGAGGGGGGCACTGTAGCCGGAATTAGCCCGAACTCCTCGGAGTCTTGAAAGGGTTCGAGGAAAAGGCTGAAAACATCAAAAAGAATCATTCATAAAAGAAGATAATTGATTAAATAGCTGTCGAAAATCGCAGCAAAAAGATGTGTTTGAAACATAAAAGGCTGGCAGGGGCGCTTTGGGACTAAGCAGTTTCTGAATGAAGGAGATGACTGTGGCCGTGACTCACCCCAGGAGAGGGAGCGCCACAGAGCCAGGTGGTCTCCGGGCCCTAGCTGCCCTCGCCCACCGCCCCCTGGAGCAAACGTTCCGTGAACAAAGGCCTGGGGACTCAGCTCAAGTCAGAGCTCCGTCCCTCAGTCCATTAAGAGCCCAGGATGTGGGTCAGCCTGTGGGAAGGGCTGGGGTGGCAGGCGCCAGGCAGGAGAAGGGGCCCAGAGCCCAGAGACAGCCTCACCAGCCCTGGATCCAAGACTGGACTCCCTGACAGGCTCAGGAGGGCAAATATCAGTCAGAGAGGTTAGTCAGGTGCCTTGCTGTGTGTGGTAACATCTAAGCTGGCAGGTGACTGACACCTTTCTGTGAAACCTGACAGCCTTCATAGAAGGCCTTGTGCTCTCCTCTCAAGTGAGCCTAGAGACAAAGAAGACAAAGCCTTCTATCTGTCCTTGAACTTGCTAAGATTGCTTCTGCCTCAGGACCTTTGCACTTG